CACACCATCTAAAAATATATACATGTAAGCATATTAGTGTAATTAACTACCCCAAATTTACTAAATTTTTTGATACATATTTATGTTGTTATGCAATATAGTAGTCTTGTTCCCAGTCGCTTTGTTGAGATTTTCAAGACATGACCTTTTTTCATTTATAGTAAATGCAAGGACTTTTTCAGCCCAATTTTGGAGCAAATTAAAAAATTTATTAAAAAAGTTCAATTTTGATCAAAAATAGCTCACACTTTTTCTAGACAACATAAGTACATGTATATGTGACGGAAAAAATTTTTTAAATGGAGAATTCTCTCCTCATCATTTTTCGTAAAATTTGGCAAAACAGGGACTTTGGCCCAATTTCAAAGCAACTTTAAAAATTTGTAAAAATCCAAATTCGATTGAAATCAACTCAAACTTTCTGTATAACATGAGAACATGTACATGAATCATAAAAATTATCAAAGTGGAGAATTCTCTCCTGGTCATTTTTGACAAAATTTGGCCAAAGTCACTGTACTATATAGTACAGGGTGTTTGGCCCAGTTTTTGAGCATTTTTAAATTCATAAAAAAATCCAATTTTGATTGGAATCAGCTCAAACTTTTTTGACAATGTAAGTACATGCATATGTATCAGAAAAAATTATAAAAACAAAGAATTCTCTACTTTTAATTTTTGACAAAATTTGACCAAAATCTCTGTATACTTATAGTACAGGAAGTAATTTTTAAAAATAATATTGATGTATAGTACATTATTACCTATTGCTGGTATAGAAGGGGTAAGAGGATCTCCAACAGTTAACATTACAGTTCCTCTCTGAACACCTCCTGGAGGAAGGGACGGGCCTTTAGGATAAACAGGAGGACCATCCTTTGGTGCATAATCAGCTGGATCAGAATAAATAATCAATCCTGAACAACCAAAGCGCTGAGCTAAATGAGCCTAATTAAAATAAATACAATTATATTGAAAACTATATGTAGCCTAGTACACTACAACATTAGTGTTTCAATATGTTTATTTTAAAACCTTGTCTCCTCTAAATATTTGACCGTAGCGTGCAATACAAACATGGCCAGTCAAATTAAGACTCAAATTGTACACCAAATACTGGAAATCACTGATACGACCATAATTAACATACACCAGTGGACCCTGTGTATAATAAATAAAAATATTAAACGTTTCTACATACTAAACTAATTAAATGTACACGTACATGTATGTGTCCTTACTTTAGCTTCACCAGGTGCAGAGTAAGCATTAAAGGGAGGA